GATCAAGACCAGGGAGGTGCCCGCGGTGCCCGAGGCGCGAGAAGCAGCGGATCGCTGGCGAGAAAGAGGACAGGGTGGCCGCCCCGTTCTTGATCGAGGAGGTCGGGGCCGCGGTCGCGGCGGCAGAAGGTGACCGCAGTGGATCTAACATTCGCGCTTTTCTCAACTCCCCACTGCAGCCGCTTGGCCCGCCGCGGCCGGAGATCGCGGCCCCCCTCGGCACGGGGCCGCCGACGGCGCCGTCGCCGGAGGAGGAGCGGCAGCCGTTGCGATGCGGACAGTCCTGGAGGGTGCTCCTATTCACGAAATGGACATGCTGGCGCCGTGCAACGTGGTGGGGCACCCGCTGGCAATCGCCAGGCGCGTCAGGCAGGGGCCTGATGGATGAGGCGCAAGGACTCGGGGGCAGGAGCTGCGAAAGATCAGGCGCTTCGAGGACAGGGTCGGCGAATCGCCTGGGAGGCGCCGGGCCACCTCCGGACAGTGGCCGACCGCGGACGTCAGCAGGGAGGTCGCCAAGGCCGCCGCGCGCGGCGTGGAGCTGCTCGGGCGGCGCCGAAGGAGCGCGAACAGCTGTGCGAGAGGGCGGCGCGGCTCAGTGCTCTGCAAAGAGACCGGCTGTGACGGCGATCCAGAGAGGCAGCGTCCTGCCAGGCGATGCAGCCGGGGCGGGGGCCGAGCTCCGCGGGCGACGGGGGCGGGCCGACCTCCAGGGGGGGGGGGGCGCGCCGGCGTCGCCGCCGTCGCCTTGGGCCGCGGGTCAGCGTGGCGTAGGGCTCCCCTGGTCACCCGCGACCCCGCGCGGAGGCCGCGCGCAGGGCGGGGCCGGTGGGCCCCTTGGTGGCAGCCAGGCAGGGCGGGAGGGCCCCCCTCATCCTTGGGCGGCAGTTTTCAGCCGAGATCCGCCTAGGCGGAGGAGGAAGCTTCGGGGCCTGCGCCTTCCCCCGAGCATGGCCAGTTGCCACCTCCATCAGGCGGCGATCGTAGAACAGGCGCAGCGGCGGCCGCCACCCTGGCCAGCTCGGCCAGGGGGGTCGGTCGACCTCGGGGAGCGGGGGATTGGCGGCCGACCGGGCGGCTCACCGCGCAACCTGGGAAGGGGGAGCTTCGCCTGGGGCCGCGCGGAGAACGGCGCGCGCTGTGCGCGAGTTGGCGGGTGCTCAGTGCTGGGGCACCCCCATGCCGCGGAGCGCTGCCGCTCAGCAGATGTCGGCGACCGCTCCCGCCGCGGCTCGCGTCGGGCGCCCTCGGCGGGCGGGCCCGCGTCCAGGGGGCGCTCGTGCAGGTGGCGACGGACGAGGGCTTCGGCGCGCAATGGAGGGGCCCGCGCGCCTATCAGCGGCGAAGTGTAGGTTCTGAGGCGGCCGCGGATGGCAGCAGGGTGTCCCGCGGCTACCGCGTCCTCGGCCTGCGATGGGCCCCCCGGGGCGGGGGGGCCTGCGCTCGGGGGGCGTTCGAGCGGGCGACGGCGGCCGAGGGCCTTGGGCTATCGGGGGCTGCTTCGCGGCGAGATGCGGCGGCCGCCGGCGGCGTCGGTGGCCCGGGCAGCAACGGGGGGGCGGTTGAGAGGAAATGGTCAGCATCTGCGATAGCCCTGGGCGGACAAGGCGGAAGGGCGCCGCGGCGCGCCCCGGGGGGGCGGTTGGCCGTGGAGCTGCCGCGGCCCCGCCGCCGCGGGGTCCGCGCGAAGGCGGGGGCCCGCTTCGCTTGGCGGCGCCGCGCGGCCGCCGACGGGGGCCGCGGCGGACCGAAATCGCAGAGGGTGGCTCGTCTCGCGTGTCCGAGGAGATGGGCGTGCGCCGCCGCTGGAGACGGCGCGGCCAGGCGCGGGCTGGAGTCGGCGATGAGCGGCGTCGCGGGCGGCGCGCACGTCAACGTAGTGGGGGTGTTCGGGCGGGCCCTGGAGACGGGGCGCAGGTGGTTTCCCGGGCGTGCGCGGGGTCCCGCGGCCTGCGACGCTCGGGTATTTCAGTGGCTGCGTGAACAGATGGGCCCGGGGGCCATAGGCGCCGACGGAGCCCAGGGCTCGTGGAGCCAAGAGGGGTGGCAGGGCGCGCGGCGGACGCAGTCCAGAACAACGGACTCCACTCGACGCGTGGTCATGCAGGCCTTCGTGGGCCAAGGGTCGGGCGAGGGGCCGCGCCGTTGCCCGGCGTGCTCGTCCGGGCCCCGGTGCAGCGGGTCGTGGACGAGGGCCCCGCCCTTGGGGGAAGTCGGCGCGGTCGCGAGCAGCAGCGGGGCTCCGCGCGACCCGTCGGGGCGGGGGCCCCGCGCGCGCGGGCGCGAGGCCCCGCCCCCGCGGCCGCGCATTCAAAGGGCGATGTGCTGCCTGTGGGGGAATGCGTGGCAGGGGGCCAGTCTGTCTATGCCAGCGACCGGGTGGCGATCGGTGCGGGGGAACGAGGGCGGCTGGTAACGTTCTTCATGGTCGTCCCGGTCGGCGTCTCCGGCTTCTTGTTTAGAGGGTCAAGACGCGGGCGGCTTCGAGGTGTGTTTGATGTCCCCGCTGTTTGCGCCAAGTGTGCCGATGGCCTCTCCGGGCTCGCTCGCGTCTCGAGGCGGGGCAAGAAGGGGGCGCCCCAGCCGTGGGCGACCGCGCTCGCGCCGACGTGGGTCGGCAAACGATTGGTGCATGGGCGAGGATTGGAGGCGCCCGTCAAGTTCGAGTCCGAGGCGCCGGGCATTTCCGCTCGGACGCGATGGCGAAGGTAGGGCGCTGCTGGATGTGCGGCGGGAAGGTATTGCCGAGCGGCATCGCGCGAAGGGATTACTGGCGCGCGCTCGAGGTAGACAAGGGATGATCTCCCCGGGGGCGAGCAGGGGCAACTTGCGCGAACAGGGCCATCTTGGCGCTCGAGCCTCTCGGCGCGGTCGTCTGCGTGAAGCCGTCGGCGAGTCCCTGTGGGTGCCGCCAGGGGGCGGGCCTCGGGGCGACTGGGTCGAAGGGCGACCCGGGGCGAGCAGGGCCATGGCAACCGGGCGGCCACTGGCGGTCCTCCTCGTCGAGCGCCCCGAGCAGCTGATGTCGCGCAAGACGGCGCCGCGCCCAGTCTGGCCGCCGTGCGAGGAGAACAGGGGGGCGGATGATCTCTGCTGCGTGAAGACGTCGGACTTCGACGAGCCCCTCAGGACCCGCGGCGCGGCCGCGGACCCGAATCGGCGCGAGCTCGACGCGGTGGCGCGGGTCTCCCAGGAGTTTTGCGGGTCGAGCGCCGAGGAGAGGCGTCCGTGGTGGAGAGCGGCCAGAGGGGCCGCGGGCGTGCGCGCCTGCCGCCGCGGTGACAGCGTCGCTCAATACGTCGTTGACGACGCCGCGAGGGCGGAGATGGAGGTGGCCGCGGCGGCGCGGGGGGTCTTGCGCGACCTTTCAGCGCGGGGGCCCAGCGCGAGGTAATTGGGGTGGCTGGGACATCTTCGCGCGGGGGGGGGGGGGGGCGCCCCCCGACCCCGCGTTCCATCCCAGAGAAGCGTGCGGCCACTCGGTGGGCGATGCCCCCCCCTGATGGGGGTGGGGGGTGGGTCTGCGGGGGCCCCCGAGGGCAGTGGAGAGGCCTTTGGACGACCTTGCCGCGCGTCTCCGGTTTCCGCGCGGGCGCGAGTGCGTGCAAGGGAGATGGGGCGGGGAGGGGGCGCCGTAAAATGGGGGTGGAACAGGGGCGCGGGTAGACGGCGCCCCCTCCTCTCCCCCAGATTGTTGTAGTGCCCGGGGCGAGGGAGGGCCCAGGCTTCCGCTTTTTTTTTCCGTTCTCTTTGCGCCCCCTCTCGCCGTCTTCGCTGACGCGTCGCCCCCGGCGCCGCTGCCGCTCGAAAGAGCGGCCGCAGTCAGCCTCGCTCTTCCCCTCTAATGGCCATCGCACCGCCTTGGGGGCTCATCGAGGAGGCGCCCCTTTGTGCCAACACGAATGTGTATCCGCTTTCCTGTTCGGTGTCTGTGACTCCCCGCCCCGCCCCGCCCCGCCCCTCCCCTCCCCTCCCCTCCCCTCCCCTCCCCTCCCCTCCCCTCCCTCCCCTCCCCTCCCCTCCCCTCCCCTCCTCCCTCCCTCCCTCCCTTCCCCTCCCCTCCCCTCCCCCCCCCCCTCCCTCCCCTCCCCCCTCCCCTCCCCTCCCCTCCCCCTCCCCCACCCGCCCCGCCCGCCCCGCCCTCCCCTCCCCTCCCTCCCTCCTCCCCTCCCCTCCCCTTCCCCTCCCCTCCCCCTCCCCCTCCCCCTCCCCCTCCCTCTCCCAACAATTCGCCCGCAGCCGCGCTGGGGCATATAGATCCTGGGGTCGGGAGGTGCCCGCCTCCAGCGCGCAGGGCCGCCGACATCGCCACCCATAAAAGGAACCCACTGTAACCTCGTTCTCCTCTTTTCACCACTCTCGCACAGCCCTCAAGGCTCATCGAGTCGAAGTGTGTGTGTGTGTGTGTGTGTATATGTATGTGTGTGTGTATATGTATATACGTGTGTACGAGTTCATCGAGGCCACGTCTTCGTCCGCCTGGCCTTGGATAGGCCCAGAGGATGCTTCGCTTTGGTGGCTCTCTTGCTCGCTGGCCCCTCCTCCGCCCCTTCCCCATTCCCCCGCCCCTCCTCCGCTCCGTCTCCCCCCCCCTCCCCATTCTTTCCAGTATGCCCCACACGCGGGGTAGGGTGGCTGTACATGCTAACGGGATGGTTTTTGGGGCTCACTTTGGCCCTCGTGCTTGTGGCGACATTGCTTGCTCCAACCGGCGCTGTGGCTGCAGACGGGCTCGATGGCCTGTCCGACCTGATCCGATCCTTCAGGCCCCCCCCCGTCCCCCATCCCCCATCTCGACTTCCTCGTCTCTCGCTGTCTCCTTCTCTGTCTGTCTCGCTCTCTCTCTCTCTCCTTTTTTTTTTTTTTTTTTTTTTTTTGTTTTTCTCTCTCTCTCTCTCTCTCTCTCTCTCTTTTTTTTTTTTTTTTTTTCTCTCTCTCTCTCTCTCTTTAGTTTTTCTCCTGCTTTCTTTCTTTCCCCCCGCCCCCCCTGGCCCTTTCGGAGGAGTTCCGGCCCGACATCCACCGGCTTTTCGTTGACGTGACCCTGTTCTTCGTCTTGCAGGCGCGAGCGGGCGCGCGCCCCCTCGTAGGCCTCGCCGTCCTCCTGATGCTCTCCACCCGCTTCCATGCAATCCGATTTTGCGAAACTTGCAGCATCGCGCCGTAGCCGGTTTGGCTCAAGTAAACAATGTTTCGAAGTTGCGAAGGGCCAGTCCTGCTCTAGGTCACACGTGTTTTCCCAGGCAGACACAGTGCCATACTTGTTAACTCCTTACTCATTGCACTCTGATGCTGTTGGGGCGCCAGCAAGCACATACCTCAAGCCTGTACTTCCTTTGTTCGTTTGGGTCACCAGCTGCAGCGCTGGCGGCTTGACATGGAGAGAAGGGCTTTGCGACGCAGGCCATCAACAAGATGCGTCAGGGTTTTCTGACATGGGCGCCGAACGGAAGACGACCAAGGAGCGTACTGACAACATCGAGCAACAGTTTGCATGTCTGTAGGTGCAGCAGGCTACAGTGGATGATGAGATGCACATGCTGATAATAGAAGTATCAACGTCTTGGGAAGTATGATTCCGGGTGGCAGTATGACGGATGGTTATCGAGTTTAAATTTTGGTGGGTCGACGGAGTTCATGACATTGAACCCAAGTGGATGGGCGGAGCAAAGCATACTGGGAAGTTTGAAGACCGGTTTCTCGGAGCCCTTCGGCGACGGCGACTTCGTCCAGTTCTGGTATCAAGGAAAAGAATCGGGTAGCTGAGTCGTTGTCGACCCCTGACATCTTCAATGCCAAGATGCAGTACGCGCAACTACCAGCGCGACTCCGCTGCCGCCGGCTCCCCCCTGGGTGACGACGATGGTCGGGATCGTCGCAGTCGGTGCTTGGCGACGCTGCTCTGGCGCGCGAGGCCGCAGGGGAAACCCCTCGGCCCGTCTTCGGTGAGTCCTTTCGCTTTCTGTAGATGGGCTCTTCAGATGGGGAACCCCCGCACTGCGTCGGCCTCTCACGGTTCCCCCCTGCCGCCCCAGCCTTGCGCGTGAGGTCGCTGGGGACCCCCCCCGACCCTGGGCGCTGGGCTGCAGGTTTCCTTTCTCCGCGGCCATCCTGGGCGCCCCTGAGGCTGGCCTGCTAGCCCCATCCAGTTCGGGGTGCCCCTGGGCTCTTGGGCCTGCGACTCGCCTGAGTTCGCTGCCTCTGCCCGCTCGGGCTTGGCGGACACCTGGTCCTCCCCCTCGTCGCCTCCCCCTGGGTCGGCTGTGTGCCCCTGGCTTTGGCGCCGCCGCCTCCAGCGCAGGGCGTGCCCTTCTCTGCTGGCTCGTCGTCGCCTTCGCTGCTCCTGTGTTGCCCTGGCGGTGCCTCTCCTGCTCCCCCGCCGTGGTGGCGCTCCGCCGCTGGTACGCTCCCGCCGTGGTGGCGCTCCCCCGCTGTTCGTCGTCCTCTTCGGCTGCGTTGCGGTGGTCTTCGAGTTCGTCGGCTTCTTGCTCATCGCCATTTTGGGCTGCGCGTCGACCTGGGGCCCTTCCCAGTCCTCCGCGTGTTCTGAGCCGCAGCGTAGTTCGCTCCTGCGCGCTTGGTTCGTAATTTAGGCCGTTGCTTTGTTGCTTCGTTCTGACGGCGCGCGGCTGTACCGTTTGCGCTCGCGACCAAAAAGTACCCCTACCAGCTGATCCAAAAGTGATGCTCAGGGGAGTTTGGGTGATCAGGGAAGTTGGGGGGCACGCAGAAGAACAAAGGGCGGGGGAAGCCGTCCGATACCACGGGGGGGGATGGTGGAGGAGAAGAAGGATGAGGAGGAGGAGGAGACGGAAGAGGAGTGCGACGAGGATGAGGTAGGAAGAGACAGTGGACGAGGAGGAGGAGGATGAGGAGGAGGAGGAGGATCTTGGCGAACCCAGGGACTTCTGTGAGCGTCTTGGGTGCCTCGATGATGCTCTTGAGGCCTCTTGGGGGCCTCCTTGGAGCCTCTTGGGGGCTTCTTGGGCGCCTCTTACGGCTGTCTGGGCGCCTCTTGGGGCCCTCTTGGGGCGCTCTTGGGGCCATTGGACGACATCGATCAACAAAAAGGAGTTCCCAATTCCCGCACCCCTTTGGGAGCCCCAGAAGTCGCCTCTTGGGGCGCTCTTGGGGCGTTCTTGGAGCGCTCTCGGGGGCTCTTCGGGCCGTCTTGGGGCTCCCTTGGGCCATATTGGGGCCATCTTGAAGCTTCGGATGGCCACCGGAAGCGAACAGACGAGAAAACAACACACATAGCGTTTCTGTAGGATTTGGAAAGTATGTGGCCCCTTCGGGACTTTCTTGGGGAGCTCTTTGGCCACTTGGAGTTGTCTTGGAGCGGTCTTGGGGCCTCTTGGAGCATCTTGGGAGCCATTTGGAGGCATCTTGGGGTGTCTTGAGCCATCTTGGAGCTCATCTTGGTCTCTCCCCGAGCCGCTCTTGGAGCAATCTTGGGCCATCTTGGACTCTCCAACCCCTCGGGGGCCCCCCGTCCAGGTCCAAGGGAGGGGGTAGGGAACAGTGATAATCCTTCCCCGAAGGGGAAGAGGGGCATATGGAAAACAACAAAAAACCCTAGACCACCTGCGCCGTAAAGGGCTGGTGGGATTAATCGTATGAATAACGACTGGTGTCTGGGAGCCTTGGGCCCAGGGTCAGCACCCCCCTCCCGTCTGTCACTTCGCCCCGAGGGCTGCCGGAGGCTTCTTTGGCCCCAGGTTGGTCTCAGATGGCAGCAAAGGACTTCAGGACGGCGCTAAGAGGAACACTCTAGACTGCCCAATATGGTTTCGAGACGCACCCAAGAGGCACCAAGACGCCTCAAGCCGTCCCGAACAGCCGCTAAGACGCCCCAAGAGGGCCGCAAGAAGACCGCCACAGGGGTCCCAGCCGTCAGAAGCCATCGACTACGTCGCGGGAGGTCCCCCCCCGATTCCCGCTCCCCGGGGCCGGTCGCCCCGTCGATCAGGCCCTTTCGCGCCGTTCTCTCTGCCCCCCCGCCGCAGCCTCAGGGCCGTGCGCGCCCTGGGCCCGCGCGCGGCCCCGCGGGCGCTGAAGGTTCGTCTTGCCTGTTCTCTTGCACGCTCTGCGCGGGGACGACGGGAAACACATGGGGTCGTCTTCTCCGACGCTTCCGCGTAAGCTGCCCGCGCAAGGTCGCACGCCGGCGCCCTCGTCTCCAATGCAGCGTGCCGCGCTGGCGACCCGCGCAAGCCACCGCGTGAGGTCGCCATGCCACCTCGGGGGGGGCCCTTTTCTCTGTGCCGCGTGGCTTGGGATCGGGGCTCCGTCTCGGGGCCAGGCTCGGGCTCTGGCTCGGGGCTCGGGGCTCCGGGCGCGGGCCCGGGCTCGGGGCCGGGGCTCGGGGTTCGGGGCTCGGGCTCGGGCTCGGGGCCTGGGCTCGGGGCCTGGGCTCGGGGCTTGGGGCTCGGGCTTGTTGGGCGCCGTGGACTCTCGCGGCCCTGCCCGCGCACCCCGCCCTCCGATCGTGCCCCCCCCCCCCGCTTCCCGATGTACGCATTGCACAGACTATGGCCGAGGTGATGGGAAGTATCGCACAAACGCATGTGAGGCACATGTGCACCTTCTTTGCGTAACGTTCCATTATCAGACTGACGGGAAGGATTCATTCAATGGAGTCAATGATTCGAATTCCGGATTCTGAAGCAATCGTGTACTACGACACCTGAGTTTGGGCGCTCCGGCGCCCCTGCCGAGCTCTGAGAGGGCCGCCCCCCCACCCGCGGCGAACACCGGCGCCTCTCCTTGCCTTGCCCCGCCTTTTCCCTGAGGGCGCCAACTACCAGGGTTCATTTTTGATCGGATCCATCCGATTCCTGAACGAAGGATTGCAAAAAAACGAAGGATTGCAAAAAACGAAGGATTGCAAAAAAGGATTGCAAAAAAAACCCGATTACAAAAAAACCCGATTGCAAAAAAACCCGAAGGGTTTTTTTGCAATCCTTCGTTCGATTCTGGCCAGCCCGAGGCGGTTCGATGTGCCGCATTTTTCCGTCGTTCCGCTGCGGCCCGACGGCCGCAGGCTTCAACAGTTTTGCGTGGGCGTCCCGGGAGACGGGTCCGAGCAGACGGGGTCGGAGGATCGCGCCGTAGCGCCGTTGCGCGGTGGGATGCGGGTCGGTGTGGGGCCCGAGTTTCTCCACGCCGACGTCGCCGATGTGCAGCCGTCGTCGTCGGTGCAACCTGGTTGGGGCATGGCCTATGCATCGCCGAGTTTCTCCGCGCCGATGTGGCGGATGCGTCGCCGACGTCGCCGATGCACTGCCGATGCATTGCCGATGCATCGACGATGCATCGGCGATGTGGCGAGATCCTCTGAAGCCATCTACTCCGACCCCATCTGGAAGGTCTCTAAAAGTATTGAGGAATTCAGCGCGCATGTTTTTCAACGTTTTCGGCCTCTCAGGACCCTTGCCAGGTCCCAGTGCCGTCAACAAGGCGACTCAGGATGAAGAGCCGGTGATGTGACCAGGGAGGTTTGGAGAGGGGGGGGCCCCGGGGGGGCTGGTCACGGTCGTTGATTATAGGGATAATCCATCGTAAGGATGAACTGCTTCGTCAAGGCTGCCCTTGCACCTTGCAGCCCTGTTTTTTCATCCTCATTGATCCTCCATGAGCCAATTCAGACGTCCAAAAATGCCCACGTTGGACGTCCAAGGGTCTGGCGTCCTTACCTTGCATCCTTACTGTGGGTTCTGACCCTTCGCGGGTAGGAAGAAAACGGTCTCCCCAAACCCCCGACGTCGTGATTTTTTCAGAACGTCGACCCCCAGAGGTCTGGACCCCCTCCCCAGGACCAGCTTGTCATCCTGAGACGTTTCTTGGCGGTCCCGAGGCCCGGTAAGGGCCCCCAGAGGCCGAAAACGGCGAAACACCTTCCGTCGTGATTTTTTTAAGCGCGGGGCGGGCGCGCCGATGCTCCTGCCAGGCATCGGCCATACCAGGATCGGTGCAGGCCGCTTTTCGTCGTCGTCGTCGTCGTCGTCGTCGTCGTCGTCGTCGTCTTCGTCGTCCCTCCTGCCTCCGGCCTCGCCCGCGCCCGGGAGGACGGGCTGCGCATCCTGCACGTGCTGTACCCGTCGATCCGCGCGCTGTGGAGCCTGGGCTGCTCGAGGGAGGACCCTCGGGGACGGCGGGGGCGAGCGGCGGGTGGAGCGCGGGAGGAGGTCGCGGGCAGCGATTGATCTGGCTGTGAGCGTGGAGGAGGGCGGCCAATGAAGGCGATGCTGCTGATAGTGAGAGTGGCAGTGATAGTGGTAGTGATAGTGGTAGTGGTAGTGGTGGTGACAGTGACAGTGGCAGTGACAGTGACAGTGATGGTGACGACCTCGACGACGACAACGTCGACGACGAGGGCGACGTCGACGACGACGACGACGACGATGGCGGCGGCGGCGGCGACGGCGATGGCGACGGCGACAGCGACGGTGGCGACGGCGACGCTGACCAGCGACGACGACGACGCTAGCGGCGACGACGACTACAGCGACGACGATGACGACGAAGAGCGGTAGGAGGAGGAGGATTTCGGATGACAGGCAAGCATGGCGGTGGAGGATGTGGACGACGACGACGCCGGCGACAACGCCGACGACGTCGACGACGGCGGCAGCGACGGCGACGGCGACGGCGACGGCGACGGCGGCGACGGCGACGCTGACTGGCGACGACGACAACGACAACGACGATGGCGGCGACGACGACTACAGCGACGACGGTGACGACGAAGAGTGGTAGGAGGATGAGGATTTCGGATGACAGGCAAGCATGGCGGTGGAGGATGTGGACGATTGTATACCCAATTGTGAGCGTGGGCGAGGACGGTCAGGAAGGCGATACTGCTGATTTTGATGGTGACGATAGCGACCAGCGAGAGGAGGAGGAGGAGGAGGAGGAGGAGGAGGAGGAGGAGGAGGAGGAGGAGGAGGAGGAGGAGGAGGAGGAGGAGGAGGACAAGGAGGAGGAGGACGAGGAGGAGGATGATGAGGAGGAGGAGGAGGAGCAGGAGGAGTAGCAGGAGGAGGCAAAGGAGGATGAGGAGGAGGATGGAGAAGGAGGAAACAGGAGTAGCAGGAGGAGGCAAAAAGAGGAATAGGCAGAGGACTTCTGTGCCACCTCGTAGCTTGATGCATCGCGAAACCGCAGCAGCCGCAGCCCCTGACTGGACAGGCGTGCAGGTTTGGGCTGGGGGCGCTCGTGCCACTCGGCTCAACGAAAGCGCGCTGCACACGCTGCACGCCTCTTGGGAGCCGTTCGCTCCGCACGGTCCGCGCGGGCGCGAAGAAGATCTGAGTGGGCCTCATCTTGTCGGGAGGGAAAACAGACACAGACACAAATCACGGGAAGTGGGGGGGAAGACGTCAATCCAGAAAATACGTGGCACCCCGCAGTTGCGGACAAGAGTGATGGGGGCGGCGGGGACGTCGGCAGTCTGCGAGGCTTTGGAGAAGCCCGTCGCAGGCGCCTGATTTTTACAAAGCAGGGAATCCTGGGATTTGTGCCTATTCATCTGTGTGTCCCTGGGCCTCTTCGACCCTGGAGGGGGGGGGACTCCCAGGCCCGCGCACTCTTTTCCTCCGACGCGCTGGTGGGGTCAAAGCCAGCGGGCGACAATCTCGGGGGCAGCCTTCAAAAGAAGACTTAGCTCCCTTCCTCCCCTTGGCTCGCTGACGGGGACCTCTAGTGTCAAATTTGAGGTCAATTTCGGTCTTCTTGGGGCTTCCTTTGTGGTTCTTCGGATTCCCTGTGGGCATTCCTGGGGCAGCCCTCAAGAAGATTTGGCTCCTTTTGAAGCTGCGCGGCAGGCCGGAACACCTGCGAACGCACGCGGGGGGTATTTTGTGACCATTGGAAGGGGGGGGAGGAGGGGACCGGTCACGTCACGATTCGCGCCCACGCCGTCTAGGAGTGGTGGCTCATCTCCAGGCGGCGCCGTCGCGAATTGTGACGTGCCCAGGAGGGGGGGAGGGGGGCGCGGGGCCAGTCTCGGGCGTTATCGTCGGGCTGAGCCAGAGCCCACAGCGAATCTTCGGTTCAGTGGTTCAAAGATGGGGCCCTGAGGGATGGGGTCCTGAGGATGGGAAGGGGTCCAAGATTGGATTCACGTCGTTTGAGGCACCTGGTCCTTGGGAGCCCATCCCTCAGGATCCCGTCTTTGAAGCACCGATCGGTGAATTGTGTGGCGTTCTCTTTTTGTTGTTGTCAGGTCGTGGCGGCGCGTATCTTTTCGTCGTGCCGCGCGGTGCTCGCTGCGGTGCCGCGGCGCGTCGCCTCGCCCAGGCTCAGAGAGAGAGGCCCCCCCGGAGGCTGCGGGCGCCGCGCTGGTGCGGGCCCTGGAGGCCGCTGGCTAACATGTCGCTCTCCGAGGGGGCCTCCCGCCGGAGCTTCGGAGATTGCCAGGGGCCTCGGCTGCAAAGGGGGCGGAGGAGGAGCGCGCCCTGGAGAGGGGCAGCCGGCCCTCCCCGACGCGCACGGCGCCGCGCCCACGGCCGAGCGCCGAGCCCTCAGAGGCTCCCCGCGCCCGTCCTCTCTCCCGCCTTCGGCGCGCTGGCTTGCTGGGCCTGTTCGTCGCAGTTCTGTGCGTGGCGTCGCCGCCGCCGACCTCGGGCGCAAGTCAGAGGCCAGCAACATATGTACACGTACGCGGTTAGCTTCCCTTGGGGGGCGTTGGAACGAGGACGTTCGTGCATTCAAGATCGCGGAGGGCGTACATGTACATATGTCGTTGCTCGCTCAGCAAGGGGGCCTTCCTGGCCCAGTGGCCCAAGAGAGCAGCGGGCTCCTGGCCCGGCGGCCGAGGGGTCTCGGGAGCCCGTGGCCCCGGGGTGTCCTCGAGCGTGCGGCCCCGCGGGCCTCGGCGCCAAGGCCTCCGGGGCCCACGAGTCGTGGGGTCAACCGCGTCCCGCTCCGTTTGCGGCAGGGCCCCAGAGTCGGGGGTGGACAGAACCCCCAACAGTGACACGTCGATTAGTGAATTGTCCGTTTTCGGTTCTCGAGAGGGCGCCGTGGCCGTTATTTTCCAGGCTTGCGCCCGCCAGGTTTGGGCCTCAGTTCGTTTTCACTAAACCACGTTTTACTAAAGGGGGGTCTGTCCATCCCCCACGTTTGCGGCAGGGCCCCAGAGTTGGCCAGTGGCAGCGCGGAGGTCGGACGTCGCGCGCCCTGGAGTGAAGGTCCACAGAGCCGAGGGGCCAAGTCGGGCACGTCCCCCTGGAGGAGGAATCTTCGAAAATAGTAGCAAAAATGGTCTCGGGACGATTCTTTCATGATTTTTTGATTGGTTTTGGGTATCTTATGACTGTGTTTGATGTTTCTTCCAAAATCCGCCTGCAGGAGAACATGCCCGACCCGACCGAAGAGCCCAGGACGCGGTGGGCCATGGCGCGAGGGCTCCGAACTCGCCGGTCGCGCGGGGCCCACGGCCCGGGAGCCACCCGTGCGCGCGCCGGACAGTTCCCCCCCAAAGGTGCCAGCGAATCAGGAGCGAAAGAAGGACGTCCACGTACACGAATCCACGCTGGCTTCGAGAGTGCGCATTGCGCGAATCTTCGTATCACGCGGCTGGTCTCGCGGGTCAAGGGACCGTGTTCGTGTACAACGTTTGACGCGTACGTCCTTTGTGGGTTCCCTGAATTGAGTGATCGTTTTCTTATTTAATCGCTTCGCTCATTCCGCCGAGGAGGAGGGGGAGGAGGAGGAGGAGGAGGAGGAGGAGGAGGAGGAGGAGAAGGGGGAGCAGGAATAGGGGGAAGATGACGGCGACGTCGCCGCCGCCGACGACGAGGCGCGTCCAGCCGACCAGGAGAGCAGACCGCGGGGGCACAAGCGCACCGCCATCATCTCTGGCGTGCGTGGGCTCTGCGAGGCAGCCGTTGGCCAGCCCGACGACGCGTCGGCGGGAGGCGCCGACTTCCCTTTATCTCGAGCCTTTTTTTGTTGCTGCTCTTCCTCCTTCCTGCTCTCACACCTCCCCTCCCCCCTCCTCCTGCTACTTCCCTTCTGCTCCTCCTCTTCCTCCCTCAATGCTCCTTCCTCCTCCTCCTCCTCCTCCTCTTCCTCCCTCCCCCCTTCCTCCTTCCTCCTGTTCCTCCCGCCTCCCTCCTCCTCCATCACTGTTCCTTACGTACATCCCCTCCCAGCGCACATGTGCCCAACACGCTTGCAGCACCTCTGAGGACGGAGGGCGGTCTGCAGCAGCAGGGATGGTATTCTGGCACGACCTAGGATTGTCAGGACGCAGCGGTCACGTTGATCCGCGGCGTTGAGTTCCCAGGAATGGTGCTCTGGCACGATTGGGGCTTCTCAGACGGTTGTCTTTTGCTGGGCTCTTTCCCGAATTGACGCAAGTTCTTCTAGGGACCCGTGAGGCGGGACTTGTGAGGGATGGTTTATTGCAGCATCGTTGTTGCGCCTTGGGTTAGAACCAGTCCTCTTCCCCCTCGGTCTCCTCCTCCTCCCGTTCCTCCCGCTCCTCCTCTTCCCCGCCTCATTTTTCCCCCCTCCCTCCACCCCTCTCCCTCCTCGTCCTCCTTTTCCCTCCTGATTGCCTGGATCACAGGCGCTGGGCAGACCCCCTCGGCGTGCAGTGAATTCTCCGCATGCAACGGCGACAACGTCGTTGCCGTCGTCGTTGTCGTCTTCGTCGTCGCATGCTGCATATGCGACGTCGTCGTCAGTCGTGGTCGTATGCTGCACACGCGACCGTCTGCCGCACCAGCAGCTGCATACTAGTTGTGTTGACGAGACGGCGGGCAAGCCTGTACAGCGCGAAGGCGGGGGATGCTGAGCCTTCGCGGCCTGAGCCACGCATAGGACATTTTCGACCCACCCCGAACCGCTCCTGAATCAGTCCCGATCCCATCCTGAACCGTGCGTGCAACACTCCTGAGCCAAGCAAGTCGCTAGTGAACAAATCCCAAGCCAGTCGTGACCTGTTCCTGAACCTCTCGTGGAACAGACACGGACTCTGGGCTGCCGTGGGCTTCCAACGAACGAGCCACGAACCACTCTCGAACCATTCCCGAAGCTTCGTTAAACCACGAGTGAATCACTTCTGGGTCAATCCAGACACACCACGAGCCTCGAATATGCCCGAACCATCTGAGCCGCGCGGGGTCCAGCCGTGAACATGCTGCCTGGCACGCGCTCCTCCCCCTCCCCTTCCTCCTCACCCTCCCCCTTCCCCTCTCCCCCCCTTCTGGCATGAGTAGTGTTCGGTTGCCTTGTCGCGAGGCCTCTCGGTCTATTGAGGTCAATCGTCCTCTCGTCTAGGCTAGTCTTGAGGCGCTGTCTGGTCTAATTCCTACCGTCTTCCCCCGCACCCTGGTTCTTATTTCCCGCCCCTCTCTTTCCGCATGCTCCTCCTGCTCGTCCTTCTCTTGCCATCTCCCCCGTTCTCGGCCCCACATCCTTGACCTCACTGTTCTCCTGCTCCTTCTTCTCCTCCGCTTCCTGCTCATCCTCTTCTCCCCTTCCTCCCCTACCCGATCGTCGGCTCCCTTCCCGCTTGCCGTTGCCATCGTCGCTGTCCTCCCCCTCCCTTGCCACGTTGGACAAACTTCAGCTGCTGGGCTGTACATAGCGTTCGTCCCCCTCCTCCTTCTCCTCGCTTCCGCCCCCCCCGCCCCCACCTGACCTCTGCTCCCTCTCCTCCGCTGCCTCCCCCTCCTGCTCTGGCGGCTGCTGTTGCTGCTGGTGCTGGTGCTGCTGCTCCCGCCTCCCCCCCCTTTCCTGCTCCCCACTCCTGCTCCTCCCGGGGCCCTCCTGCTGCCGCTTCCCGCTCTCCTCGACCCCCCCTCCCACCTCCCCCCTTCTCCCCCTCGACCACGTGCCTCAAGGGCGCCCTCGAGGGCGCGAAGTTGTTCGCTTCGCGTTTCGCGGTACGGCTCCGATCCCTCCTCGTCCTCCTCGTCTCCCCCTTGGGGGGCGGCGCGAGAGAGCGCGAAGTCATTCGCGCTTGGCGCCGCGCGCAGCGCGGAGCGCGAAGTTGGGCGCCCTCGACGCCTCTTCTGCGTTCCGGCTGCTCCTGCCGCTGGCCCCCCCCCCTCCCGGGCCCCCTGCGCCAGTGCCCCCCCTCCCCCTCCCGAAGGCACCGGCAGGATAGGCCTGCTGACGGAGCAGACGGAGGGTCCCGTGGAGAAGGACGCGGAGTCCATTGTCGCGTACTGCCTCCTGGGAGGCACGGGACCGGGGGCAGAGGCCAGACGAGGGGGGAGAGGGCGGGAGGGGGAGGAGGAGGAGGAGGAGGAGGAGGAGGAGGAGGAGGAGGAGGAGGAGGAGGAGGAGGAGGAGGGGGCGGATTTTGTGAACTGCGGCGTTGATGAAGCCGCGAGCCTGTCAGAAAGAGGCGGCGCTGCAGCTGGCAGAGCACTGGAAGGACTGACGAGATCCGCGCGGGCACCAAGAAGACAACAGTACAGTGACAAAGTCAGTTCTCGGGCGACGAGGTCTGTACATCGTATACGCCGCTGCTGGATTCAGAATGGGTCTGGCCAGGGAGCAGTGGACATGTATAGATTTCGTCGCCCTAAGTTCTGGGCCAGGGAAGAGGGGCGGAACAGGGAAGGAGGAAGGATGAGGGATGATGGTCAGGGGCGAGCAGATCGGACGGGGCTTTCACGCGGTCTCGACCCCTGCAGTCTTGAGCTGCACGGCCACGCCACCGCCGCCGCTCGCTTTCCTGGCGGCCGCGTCAGCAGTCCTGCCTGGCCCCTGCCTGTCCGCGAGGCCTCGGCGCCTGAGAACTGCCTGCCCTGGACCGCGTGACAGTGGCGTTCCGAGTGCCTCTCCTCCTCCTCTTCCTCCTCCTCCTCCTCTTCCTCCTCCTCCGACTTCTCCGCCTCCTCCCCCTCCACCTCCCCCTCCACCTCCCCCTCAACCTCCCACTCCACCTCCCCCTCCTCCTTCCCCTCCTCCTCCTCCCCTCCTCCTCCTCCTCCTCCTCCTCCTCCTCCTCCTCCTCCTCCTCCTCTGTTTCCTCCTCCTCCCTCCTCCGTGGTAAGGACACGCGGCTTTCCAAGGTTCCCTTGCATCCTCCCCCTTCGGCCCATCCATGGCTGCTTTTGCTGGCCGCGCCTCGCCCGCAAAGTGCAGTCATGGCCTTTGAAGGCCCCTTCATTCTTGTTGTGCGTCCTTATGACAATGGTTGCCGGTATAGCGTGAGCCCCCCCAGAACATGTGCAGCGCCGACCTCCTTTCTCCCTCCACCCTCCTCGTCGATCCTCACACCCGTCGTGGCCCTCACACTCCTTCCCCATCGCCGTTCCTCACTCTCGTTTTCCCCCTTCCCCCTTCACCCTCATCGCTCCTCCTTCCTCTCTCCTTCCTCTCTCCTCCTCCTCCTCCTGCCCCTCCTCCTCCTCCTCCTCCTCCTCCCCCTCCTCCTCGACCATGATGTGGCGCTTGCGACCGCCTTGCCTTCCAGGGCGGCGCCACGAGGAAGCTGGGCCCCCCGCCGGGACCAAGGATCCCCGAATTCAAGCACACACGCATTTATATATATATACACATGCATCTACAAATATGTATACACAGATACATATATAGAATACATACATACATACACACACACATACATACATACATACATACATACATACATACATACATACATACATACACACACATACATACATACATACATACATACATACATACATACAAACATTCATACATCCATCCATCCATCCATCCATCCATACATACATACATGCATACATACTTAAGACATACATGCATGCATGCATACATACATACCTACCTACTTACATACACGCATACACATACATATCCATACATATATATATATATATATATATATATATATATATGTATATATATATTTGTATATACATGCATGCATACCTATTCTATATGTGTAAATAATAGTAATAATGACAATAGTAGTAGTAGTAGTAGTAGTAGTAGTAGTAGTAGTAGTAGTAGTAGTAGTAGTAATTCTACTACTAATACTACTATTACTACTAGTACTAATAATATCAATACTACTATTAACAATACTACTAATAATACTAATACTAATACTAATACTAATACTAATACTAATACTAATACTAATACTAATACTAATACTAATACTAATACTAATACTAATACTAATACTAATACTAATACTAATACTAATACTAATACTAATACTAATACTAATACTACTAATACTAATTAGAATAATAATACTAATGATAATAATAATAATAATATGATTAATAATAATATTAGTAATAATATGAATACTAGTATTAATAATCATAAGAATAATACTGATATTCATGATGCTAATGTTAATAATAATATTCTTAATATTATAATTAATAATAATAATACTAATATTAATAATAATAATAATACTAATACTACTAATAAGAATAACACTAATAATAATATTAATACTAATAATAATATTACTACTACTACTAATAATAATATAATAATAATAATACTAATAATAATCATAATCATAATCATAATAATAATACTAATAATAATAATGAGTGCCGCCCCCCCCTGGCCCCGGGTCCCATACCTCCCTGGAACATCTCGGGGACGTTCCCGGTACTGCTCCCTCGGCCTCTCCAGGAAGCCTCCACAGCGCCCCAGGAGGGCCCAAGACGCCTCCCAGGAGCCCCCAGAATGCGAAGGGATGGTCCAAGACGCTCCCAAGTAGCCCAAGTCAGCGTTCCGACGACTCTCGAGGCTCCCAGGTGGCCTCCAAGAGACCCCAAGAGAGGTCCGACAGGCGTCCCGGGACGGCCCGCAGAGGCCCAAATCGTAGACTGTCATTGTTTTTAAAGCATGTTTTTGGCTTCCGCGTTTTCGAGCTTCCAATAGTCCAAGAGCACCGAAGAGGCTCCCAAGACCGCCCCAAGACCACCCAAGAGACCCTCAGGACGGCCCCAAGACGGGCCAAGAAGGCTCCAAGACGGCCGAAGAGGCGCCCAGGACAGCCCCAGACCACCCCGGAACAGGCCCAAGATGGGCCCAAGAGCGGGAGCAGGAGGCTTCCAGTGACCTCCGAGACGCCTCTGGGACCACCCAGAGGCCCCCAACACACCCACGATCCCTGAGAGGCCCCAAAAAGACCCCGACGAGGCTCTAAGAACAGCCCAAGAGAGCTGCGAGAGCCGTCCCGAGAGAGCCCAAAGAGGGTAACATCTTTGATTTCCAACGGTTTTTCCAATGTTTTTCGCCTTCTCACGTTTTCCCGCTTCCAACCCTCAAAGGTCGAGGATTTTGAAAAAGGGGAATTCCCAGAGTTCCTTTTTTTCCTTTTTAAAAGTGGGACTCCTACTCGGGGGTCCTACACATCCCCTGACATCTGGCTGGTACCGCGCCTCCGTGCTTCTTGGGGAGACCCCAAGACGCCGAAGGACAGCCCATGACGACCCCAAGAAGCTCCCAGAACGTAAAGAACGGCCCAAGACGCTCCCAAGCAGTCCAAAACACCTTTCCGACGGCTCTCCAGGCCTCCAGGAGGCCTCCAGAACCCCCAGGGGGTCCGGAAGATCCCGCACCCCCGAGGGGCCCGGCTAACGAAACCCGCGAGGCACAAACAAAAAACAGCGCCGAACAGCGCCGAGGAACTGGAAAAAAATGGGAATCCCACAATTCCTTTCGTTCCAAGTTTGGCCCCCAGTCTACTCTTGCACAACAGACCACAATTCAGACCCCCCTCACCTCCCAAAAAAGAACCCAGGAAGCCTTTGAGGGCCCCAAATCGTTTAATACCTAAAGGCAAGTAATGATTTCTGCGTTTCCGCACTTCCCCTTCTACGATTCCGAGGCTTGCGCAGGGCCTCCAAGGGATTCCCTGGACGCAAGAAGCGACTAACATGCTATTACATGAGTTAGTCTATCAAGCCTAGCTAGAACTTGAGCGCGCGCGAAACAGGCGCGATGGTGGTTCTAGTGTATATATATATATATATATATATATATATTCATATGTATGTATGTATCACCTCAGGTCTTCATTCCCTCGCTCCCTACCTCCCCATCGCTCCACCTCTGGCCCTCCTCCCTCTCTCCCTCCCTCCCTGACTCCCTCCGAAGCCATGCCACCTGAAGCCCTCCCTCCCTGTCTCCTTCCCTCCGATGCCACGTCCCCTCAAGCCCTCCCTCCCTCCGCCCCCTCCCCCCTCGCCGCTCCGCCCCCTGCGCCGCCATCGTCGCCCTCCTCCTCTCGCCCGCTTGGCTGCGCTTTGGCTCTGGCCCTGCGCGCCGGCGAGGCATCACCGTCGGCGGGGCGGGCTCCCAGCAGGCGCGCGGCGGCGGGCAGCGGCCAACGGGCGCGTGGGAGGGGCACTGAGAGGGGCAGGGGGGGGAGGGAGGGTGGAGAGGAGAGCGGGGGGGGGGGGAAGGGGTGGTGGAGAGGGGCCCTTTGGAGGGGGCTGTGCGTTCGTAAAGGGCGCTTTTCCTGGCAGCCATCATCCCGGCCACGGACTCCCTGGATTCCTTCTACGCGTCCTGGTGCAGGCGTGGTGTGGCGCTGCGTGCTTTGCAGCCACGCCACATGGGAAATGATCGCACCCACACCGCCGAGATCAGCCGGCAACCCTGTGACGCCCAGGAGCCCGCACATCGGGTACATACTCAGCAGGCACGTGCTTGCCTGCATGGCAACCCTGTGGCGCTCAGGAGCCCGCCTTCGGGAGCATCTGTATAGCGGTGGCGCCTGTTTGCGCTCCTGTTCTTCAGGTACCCGCACGGGTGCCAGATCGGCACAACAGACGCCGACCTTCCCACTCCCCCCCATGCAGGAGGAAGCGAGGAGGCTGATGCTTACACGCCGCCTCGCCGAGAGCTTCATGTCCGGCCTCGTTCGGCGCACGGCTCCGCTCATGCAGCTGGGACATCGGTGGCCGGGGAAAAGTAACAGAACTTCGCGGGAATAGGACAGACGCCGGCGCGCTCTCACAATACGTCGCCGTCCACAGAACGGTGGCACTTTGGGCTCTCGACCCCGTCTTCCAGGAGCTCTCGACCCCGTCTTCCAGGAGCAGAGGATCCCGCCCCCCACCCCCCGTCCCCTTCCCAATCCTTCCTCTCGCCTTTTCGCTCAAGCGCTACCTGACGCCAGTAGCAGCCGTGCGAGCTGTTCTTTTGGGCAACCCTGTGACGCCCAGGAGCCCTCGCCTGGGAGCAGACGGCAGCGCGTTCCAGCGCTGTTCGATGTGGCAACCTTGTGACGCCCAGGAGCCCTCTCGTGGGAACCGTTGGCAGCGCGTTCCAGCGTTGTTCGGCGTGGCAACCCTGTGACGCCCAGGAGCCCCCTCTTGGGAGCCGACGGCGCGTTCCAGCGCTGTTCGGTGTGGCAACCTTGTGACGCCCAGGAACCCTCTCGTGGGAGCCGACGGCAGCGCGTTCCAGCGCTGTTCGGTGTGGCGACCTTGTGACGCCCAGGAACCCTCTCGTGGGAGCGGACGGCAGCGCGTTCCAGCGCTGTTCGGTGTGGCAACCTTGTGACGCCCAGGAGCCCTGAGGTAGGCGCTTGCCTTCGCTAGCTTTCCGGCAACCTTGTGACGCCCAGGAGCCCCTCAGGGGTGCCATCGTTTCGCTCACTGGCACGCTTGCGGTGGGTTTGGCGCGTGCTTGCGCTAGCGTATCCGGCAACCCTGTGACGCCCAGGAGCCCAACTCATGGGAGCTACCGTTGCGCTCGCACGCAGGCGTGCGCTTTGTTCGGGCGCGCGCCAGCGCTCCAACATTTTTTTCTTCGGCATCCTTGCGACGCTCAGGAGCCCGTTCTTGGGAGCAGTCATTCCCTTCACGCGCGTGCCCGCGCTGAGGTAGGCGCGTGCCTGCGCCAGTTTTCGGGCAACTCCCCGGCATTCCTGCGGTGGGTTCGGCGCGTGCTTGCGGCCGCCTGTCCGACAACCCTGTGGCGCCCAAAAGCCCACTCACGGGAGACGCCGTGGACGTTCACTCGCTTACTCGCGGGGGGCGGCGCGTGCCCGCGTTGGCTTTACTGGCAACCCTGTGGCGCCCAGGAGCCCACTCACGGGAGCAATCGTTGCGCTCACCTGCATGCGCGTGCTGAATACAGGCGCGTTCCAGCAGCCTTTTCGTTTTCCAGCAACCCTGTGACGCTCAGGAACCCTTTCGTGGGGCCCCCCCCTCCTCTTACGCGCGCGCTCGCGCTGAGAACCGTCCGTGCACTCACCATCGCGCGGGCGGTGGGCTCGGCGCGTGATTGCGCTAGCTCGTCCGCAGCTTTGGATGTTCAGGGGGCCGCTGAGCCCAGCATCCGCTCACCCGCATGCTTGCGGTGGGGTTGCCGCGTGTTTGCGGTAGCTCCGCGGGCAACCGTGTGTCGCCCATGAGCCCGCCCGAAGGTGCAGAGTGTCTCAGGCCATCCTGGGCCAAGCGATTGATCTGGCGCGCACCGTTTCCCCCCCCCCCGTCCGTTGCGGTTTCGGCCCGAGCTCTTCTGGAGACCAGCATGGCGGCCTCCGATACGGAAGCCCGCCTTCGCGACCTTCTGGACAGGGTAAAGAGGGGCAGTGCCGGCATGCAGTGGTATAGTGGCGTCCCTGGGCTCACTTTGGATCTGGATTTTCTGGCCGCCGCAGGGGCCCATGACGAGTTCATCCGGCTCTGGGAGCAAGGCGTGCCCTTGGGAGCTTCGCGTGCAGAAGCGCGATACACGCCCAACCACCCGTCAGTGCGAACCCACAGCTCGTGGGCCGAACGCGAGTGGAGCAGGCTCGAGGAATTGGGCAAGGTGTCCTTTTTCTATCCAGGGGCGCCACGGCCGCCGTCCCTCAACGTTAACCCTTGCGGGTTGCTGTTGGAAGAGCGCGCAGGTTCAACCCCAGAGGTTCCAGAACAGGATCGATGGAAGGCTCGGCTGATATTGGATTTGCGAGTGGGCCGGGTCAACGCACGTGTACCGCATGTTGGGGTTTCGTACGGAACAGTCGACATGGCTATCAGCCGCATGCACCGAGGCGATTTCCTGTACGTCGTAGATCTCCAAGACTGCGTCTTTAATTGGCGGGTGTGCGACGCTGATTCTTACTTCCTCGGGTTTTATTCGCACGAGAGGCGGCAGTCCGGACGATACCGGTTTCTGCCTTTCGGCCTGTCGCCGGCCCCGGGGCTCAATGACCGATCCATCAAAAAACTCTTGCGCGTCTTGGCACAGAGGAGCGGCGTGCAGTTGCTCGATTTTGTGGACGATCTACTCGGGGTGGAGCGGTGTTGCTCTTCGGCCTGGACAGCGTTTGATCGAGCGGTGGATTTTTTCCTCACAGCGGGCGTCCCTGTGAGCGCGAAGCCCACTGGCATCAGGCCCCCAGACACCCGTCAAAGCTGGATAGGGTGGATATTCGATGCCGTTCTCGGGGTTGTCACAGTGGCCCAAGAGAAGTGCGATCGTTGCAGACAGCAAGTCATCGCTTTTCTGGAGGCGGACTCCCGCAGAATTCTCCTCGCCAGAGACTTGGCCTCCACTGTAGGCCTGGCATCTCATATTGCAGAGCTCTATCCGCAGGCTTGCCGCCGGCTTCATCCTATCTGGACGGATCTAAACTCGGCGGGTGTGTACGCACTATGGAGCCGGTCACCTCAGGCTAATCCAGTCGCCCGCCTCTCTGAGTTGAGCCGGAAAAACATCGAGTGGGCGGTGGAAGCGTTCAGATCGCCACCAATTCGGGTGTTGCATGTCCAAGGGGGCTCGCTGTCAACTTGGGGCCACAAGTCGCCAGAGTACGAACAGTGGGATTCATTCGCCAGAGCGGGCCAGATCCGCGTCGTGGAGACAGACGCCGCCACGTCCGAAGGTTGGTCCTACCACCTCGAGCCACTCCACGCGGGTTGTCTCAGGCACATGGCCCGACAACTTTTCTGATTTGGAAGCTTTATCGGAGCCCGCCGACATCGATTACAGGGAGTTGTGGGTCGCGTGCCAGTGTCTGGAGGACAACCTTGACGAATTCCGTGGCTGGCGCATACTTTTCAGGGTGGACAACAAGGCGGCTGAACATGACATCAATGTCCGCTACGGCGCCATCCCACGGCTCGAACGGCTCGCAGAACGATTTGAACGGGCAGAGCGGGCAGCTTCCTGTTGGGCCCTGGCGCTCCACTTGAGCGGCGCGGCCAATCGGACAGCTGACCTCGGCTCTAGGGATCCTCTGTTCGCCTCGCGTTGGAATTCTGATCCCTTTCTTGAGGCAGCGATTCGCACGCCAGTTCTGGCAGATATCGTTGCACGGTGCGCCTGCTCGTTCACACTGGACCTGTTCGCAGACCGGGGCGGCCGGAATGCCATTGCACCTTCTTGGCGTTCACCCGAAAGGACAGCATTTGAGGCAGACCTGACCGGCCACGCGGTTTGGGCGCATCCGCCGCGAGCTTTGCTTCGATCCGTCTTGGAGTTTTTGAATGCCCACCTCGTGCAGAACCCTGGTGCGCGCATCGTGCTACTTTGCCCGGAAGACAGCCGCGCGCCCTGGTTCCGCCCTGCACTGCTGCGGCGGTGGTTCCGGGTCAGGTCTTGGCCAGCCGGGTCTGACTTTTTTCGGTGGCTCCACGGAGACTGGAGCCGACGTACTTGCTGCTGCAGTCCTGGCAGCCGAACAGGCGGAAACGCAAACGATAAAACGCATCATCGTAATCCAACCCGGATCGCTGTTGCTGCTATATATATATATGTATATATATATGTCGCCGGGTTGTTTTTGTCACCGTCTTGGCGGTGGAGTGTTGGCGGTTTCGTATCCATCTTCCTTGCTGCGCGCCACTTCAGTTGCACATGGGGCCTTGGCAACCGCGCCGCGCGCGACGAGAACAAACCGCCCCGGCAATTATATAGTTGCCGCCATCCCTGCTTGAGAACGTGCCTCTCCGTAGCCATAGCGGCTCGAGTGCCTTTTCTGTTTGGCGCACAAAGCTTTCCGATTATTTCGCAGTCCGCATCCACAGTCCACGGCCATGGGCGAGGAGGCCGTCGAGAACCTGATTGCCATTGCAATCGAGGAGGCCAGCAAGCCCGGAGGCAAAGTCTACCAGGCGATCGTCGACTCCTTCGCCGCGGGGCAGGCGGGGGCCCAGGCCGTCGACGTGTCTGCCGCGAGCGCTTCCACCAGGGCGGTCTCGCAGGCCCTCTTGCCTGCAGGAGAGATCACGGCCGCCTTCTCGAAGGGCTTCGACCAGAGGGCGGACGCGGAGTACCCGTGCAGAGCCAAGCTCCGCTCCCTCACCACGGCTCAGTGGTCGGCGGCCTGGAGGAACCTCGTCGTGGAGGCGGATGCGGCAA